CGCCCCCCCCCAGCTGTTCTCTCTGATGGACGGCCCAGCCTGCTGGCTCTCACACTGGCCTCCGGCACCTCGGCCTCTCTGCTCTCAGCAGCGAGCGAGCCGGGAAGGAGCCGCACAGATTACCTCATCTCAAGGAACCTGCTTTTGTGGTTGGCCAACGGCAAGATGATGATGCTGATGCTGAAACCTTTCCATGCCAGCGAGTTTTTCTTCATCGTCTGTTTGTCCAGCCTTTTTCTTTGTTCTCCCCTTTTTTCCTCCCTTTTGCTGTTTGTTTTCTTCCTCCTCCTCCTCCTCCTCCTCCTCCCAGGGTTTGCTGTGTTCCTGTTGCGGGGTGGGACATGGAGGAGAGGGGGAACGCCTGGCGTTTTTTCAATCAGGGATCGTCTCTAGGTTGAGCGATGGCTGAGACGTCACCAAGGCAGGTGGAATGAGCCGGGGCAGGGAAAAGGCGTTTTCCTCCAACCCGTAGCCGCAAGGACTCCTCCCACACAACAGCTCCGTGTGTTGACAATCCTAAGAGCCGGTGGGGTGCCTTGCCCCTGTCCTCCCGTGGCTTGTGCTGCAGAAGGCCGTGTGGCTGCAGAGCCGGCGAGCTTCCTCTCTTTTCCTCAGGCTCCGTCATGGTCCAGTGTTGGTATGGCCTCCCCTGGAACACACGCTCCTGGCTTGAGCATCCATTCCCCTTTCCAAGGGCTTGGCGAGAGGGGAAGGACTTCCTCGCTGCTACGTTTGACCCACAGACACATTAAAAACCTCTCGATCAGCTGCTTCCTTCTCCTGGCTGGTGCTGGCCTCTGCCCTACCGTTGCCTTCTTCAGGCTTTCAGCCAAGTTTTAAATGCCCTTGACCTCGTCTCTCTCCCCTCGAAGAACTCGTCCCGCTGACATTCATTCTGACGGCCTCAACGTGCTGTGGCTTGGTGTTTTGCTCCTCTGCCCCCTTGACGCAAAAGGGCTGTCACTTAGGTCGATCGAGGCTTCCTGGAGTGGCTTCCTTCTCGTGAGGTGGCTTTCAGCAGCCCCTGGAAGCGCTCCGCATCGGTGCGCTGAGAAAATGGGAGGTGACAGTTGAAGTCTGCTTCAGTAGGGCCACGGGGCGGGTGTAGGTAGCGCGGTTAACGTTACAGATGCCTCCTTGTAGTCTCTGAACAAGCCTACAGATGCCCAGGCCTCTTCAAATTGTACATGAGAGAAGGAAAGCGGCGCGCTCCCAGCTGGGTACGGCCTTTCCCTGTGCTGGGTGGAAGCAGAGGAGAGGAGACCGAAGCCCTTCTCGCCCTTTCCCCTCAAGCCTCCGGGTGAAGGCAGGCGAAGGCCGGCTGCGGCTCTCCCATGTCTTGAGCCGGGGGGCTGGGCGGCCCGGCCCT